TTAGTGTGTGACCCTTCAGATCAATTAGAGTTTCAAAGTGATGAAGCATGGGTAACTAAGGTTAGCCTCTTGAAATTCCAGTCATCCAGGCAATTTTGTATATCCAGCAGTGTGACAATTCCTTTTTGTGGCCACTTTGCACTGCTTTGCTTATAACTAGAATATAACTGCACAAAAGTGAAGGTATAAATTCATCAAGTAAGAAAATATATATTTGCAATCTTATAGTATCAGTCTGGAGAATTGAAGTGTCCAAATACTGAGGACTACTGAAGTCAAACAGAAACTGATGATCTGAGAAACCGAAGTTTATTTAGCAAGCCAAGTATTTGATGATTTTGGAAACCAGGTAAAAGACACATGTTTTAATTTTAATTTTCATAAAAATGTTATCACAGTTAGGCTCTTTTTTCCAATTCAGGTTTCTCGAGAATTGTCTCCTAGATATATATAAGACTGCTAACACACTGTTATACAAGTAGACACAAGAATGCAAGCAGAGGTGATCTGACATACTGGCTACAAAGTTTCAGGTTCATTTTCACCATAGTGACAGGAGAGGGATGTTAGGCTGAGAAAGCAAAAAAAAAACCCTAATATTGCAATAGATTGGTCAACTTGGGGACAGTTTGATATGTTGTAAAGATTCAGTGACAACTATTTTTTGTTAATTTCCCTGCTGTGATTATGAGGCTATAAGAAGAAGATACAGTTAATTACAGATTTATTAACTGTATGATCTTCCTTAAAAGTTACCTGCATCTAAGCACAAATCAAGTGATTTTTTTAAATAACAAAAACATCATGATTGACAACAGCAAGACTGCTCCAAAGTACACTTAGCTGGGTGAAGGACTCACTAATAGCTACTATCTCTTCCTTTACATTTCAACTTCTTGCCTCATGTTTGCCTGCTACAGGCTAGTGGCAACACGTCCCATACCTAAGGACAATTTTTATCCCTGACAGAAGCCATATCTTACATATAACTGGGTAATTATATGAGAGCTATCTTTAAAATCACTGACTTGGGAATTGCTGACTATGCAGTGGCTGAGAGCTCAGCATAAGTGAAGCCCCACAGCATTTACCTTACTTCTCGGCTGAATTTTGCAGCCCACACTGAGTTCTGAATTGCTACACTCAGCTGTTTCCAGAGTTGAAGATGGCTCATTAAGGTCTCCTAAACCTGCTGCCACAGTGAAGTAACATAACTAAAAAAAATGGGTCCTTGAACCAGGATTCTCTTATCCAAGCATGATTTTCATGCATCTTGTTATTGAGATGCTTTATTAAAACCTTTGTTAATCTGCATGAACAGATAAAATTTCCCAAAGAAGGTTGTTGTGGGGGTTTTTTTCCACAAGTTATTTATGAGAAACAGAGTTTTAAAAGTCCTTTCTGACTCCTAATGATACTCAATGAGACTAAAAATACTTTAATTAGTACTGGCCATCACTCACTATTATTACAAATTTAGCAAAATATAGACTACCACCTGGCCTCACTTATAGGGAGTTTCTGCAGCAGAAATTATAAAGGCAAATATATTCTCTCTACTGGGTAGGGATATGCAATTAACTCCAATTAAGAAATAAAAAAGTTAACATTTATTCTCTAATGTAGCTCAGACTTCATTCAACATTTCCTAAATAAAGTATATGACATTATGAGGTGCAAGGATGGACTGTGGTACAGAATGTCCAAGCTACCAAAGGTTCAAGTTAGGTCTGTTAGGGTCTTCAACAGCAGAGACCCAAAGGCAGCATGGTGATGCACCTAAGCTGCTGCTACCAGTATTCTGGACTCTAGATAGCTGATCAAAACCACACTAACTTGATGAAAATACTTAATAATGCCTACTTTACCATTAGAATTATCCAGAGGTTTGAGCTTTAGCCATTTATTAAAAGTTTACACCTTTTCCAAGATGATTTGTTGCTATAGTTCACAAAATTTCATTACATCCCTAAAAGCAAAAGGGCAATACTAATGCATGCCTTACGAACTAATAAAATTTTATGACTATTTTTCAAGGTTAAATATATCGTGTGACTTCTTTTTTAAATGGAAGGGCAGTGTAAAAATTAAAATGAGCAGCAGAAATATCTAGTTTAAGGAATAAGAATACTGACCTGGAACAGCCCAACAGAAGAATCAGTAAGACTGATTTGTGAATCAATTACTTTGTAAAATTAATTTTAAGACATTGATCTACAAAATTTTAACCCCAAATTTATATTTTAGTTAGCAGAAAAAATTATCGCAAAGACTGTAGTATTTCAAGAATCTTCCTATCACATCTTAATTATTAGTTTAAAGGCAGAAATGTCAAGAGATGCCAACACAATTTGCCAAACTTGCCTGATCAATCTATCACAGAAACAAAGAACAGTTTAACTTGAACTCAGTCACATTTCCGGTCTTTATTACTCTTACATTTGTCCTAATTAGAAACAAGTGCTTTAACTGCCAGCATAAACCAATAATGTAACTGTTCATCTTCCTATATAAACCTAATTTCTTACAAACAGACATAAAACTAACACAACACAGAATTTCAGAAGTAGAAATAACGAACTTTATGACTACTTTTATTTGCTTTCTATTCAGTTTTTCTCCCTGATATCTAAGAAATATTTACCACTCAGTATATGGGGTTCTCATCCTCTGTGATTCCCTACCAGTTCAACAACAAAATTTTGGAGAACTACAGAGCAGCCTGGGTTTTTTCCCCAGCAGATCAGAGAATAACAACTGGCAAGGTGACTATTCCCAACCTGTTATAAGTTGATCACACTGTCCTACCACCTAGGGAAAGGAGACTGACAGATGCAATTTTATGTTTGAAGTGCTACTTCATGCTCTATAAAGAGCTCTACATTATGACATAGTACAGAACTTTGAAAGAGTATTCCCAAAGTCAGCATGTCTCAGTGACACAAAAACAGGGCAATTCAGGAAATAAAAGCACGCAAATCTGATATTTCTTTTAAATAAATTATCTCTATAATCATACATAACTTATTCAAGCAATAAGTTTATATGACCTAAAGTGGCAGGGCGACATTCACGTACACATAGTGCTAAATACCTTATAACTGAGGGTGACATGATTTACTAATTTGGGCCATTTGCAGTACAAGATAATCGCCAACATGATTCCAGATATGGCTTGCAAGCCAGGCCAGTTAGAAAACTTTAACATTTATAGCTTAAAATAAAATCACATTTTAAAATCTGCTTATCTACACATCCAAATGTTCTTCCCAATAAAATGCCAAGGAAAATATCACAGTGGTATATGGAAAACTAAGACAGAAGGAATTACAGGACATTTGTATTGTCAACTCATTGATCTTGTTAGTTCTTATAAATATTATGGGTGCCCTCATGACTGTCCTACAGCTTCTGAGGTTATACTCTGGGCCTCTGATACACACTATATTTAACCTTACACAAAACATATTTCCAGATTAAGACCTAAAAATGTTTTTTTTAGGATCTGTGTTTCAGACTGATCTTAATGGATTGACTGTGTCTAAGAAAAATACTTGTGTTCAGCAGACAGCACGCTTCCAAATCCTGGTATTTTAACTAGTGAAAACTCTATCTTTTCTTAAAATACTAGTTACAATGGAAAACTTTCTTCTTGAGCCTCTCTCCCTACCAATTTACTGGATAGGGGTATGGCAGTCTTTCCAGTGCAATATATATGTTTATTGTGATTAATCAAGTAGAAGTTTGGGGGGGGGGGAAGATAATTTGGCATTTTCTTCCTTTACTGAACAACAACCCACGATATTGTCCTACACAGATTGATTATTTTTTAGATTATCAGGGTCAAAACAGTCAGTAAAGTAAGCCTTCAGTGACACAAGTAGTCATGCTGATGTTCAAGTCAGATTCTGGTCCATTCTGTGCAATATGCTATAAAGCTCCTATCCTATTTTGTGCCGCCTCTTAGATTGCTGTTTATAATGTAGATTCCCTCAAGTCTTTTTTAGCCCAAATTTAGCGGAGAGATGGCAATTACAATCCACTTCACCTTACCCTGCAGACTCCGAAGCTCTGTCTTCATATCTGCCCTTAAATACTATGCCCAATATAGCTCTGGCACTCTTCCAATACTAGTTCAGCTGTGAGATCAAGAAGGTGCTTCCCCTTACACAGACATGATGTTAGTCAACAAGTATCTGTCATTCGCCTATACTCTTGTATATTACCCAAATCATGATTCATAATCAAGATAGCACAGGTCAAAAAGTCAATTGCCTGTTTCAAATAGGTCTCTGCTGCTGAGAACTGTCATTTGTCAAAGCAGACTCCCAGTTTAATTACTTACAGAGAAATGACTATATTCTGAAATTTCTGTACCAGGTGGTGACTAATCAAGAGTTCAAACAAGGGTGATGGAAGAGATCATATAATTTTGGCGAATATAAACAGACTCCTTACAGATGATATCATGCATCTGACTTAGCACAATTCTATTGTTTTTAAACTGCTTTAACTCATTGCTGTTCAAACCTTTATATAATACGAACAACAGTCTGTCAAAATGTCATTTAATATTTTTCTCAATTCTCAGTCACTAATTTTCAAAAATGGAGCAGATCTTCTTTATGTAACATGAAAACGCAAAGTACTTTACATTTTGAACTAGTTCTATAATGTTGCTAAGCACTTCATTAAAAAAAACCACAGCTTGGTAAATAGATTCCCGCAAAAGGCTGGGCTTAAAGAAACTCTATTTCTAATTTGGCTTTTTGCAACCTTCCTATCTAGGAAAGTATTTAAACCTCTGCTTTGTTTTCCCTTCTACAACTTTTTGCTATTAATCTTTATTCTGACGTTAAGCTCTCATGGTAGCTAATGGAAGACTATAATCATGCTGTGGTAAGTAAACAGAGTACTGTATGCTTAAAAATATAAACCTATACCTTCTATAACATTACACTTACACCAATGACTATGTAAAGGATTATTTGGTGGTTTACCTGGTCTTGAGGAAGGAACTCTTGCTATCTCTAGGGAACAAGGCTTTTTGGTCACTGCTACGTCTATCGAATCACAATGACTGCTGTCATTTTCTGAAGGAACTGCATCCAGAGGTACAGAGGATATTGCTTCCAATGCATAACCTCTCTTCTTTGAATAAGATTCCTGAAATGCAAAAATTCAAGCAGGTAAGAGAGATATTTCTCAGATGACACAGGAAAAGAACCAGGGTCAATAACTCTAGCTAGTCGGGTTTAAAATTCAGCAAATTAAATACCACATTCTGTTGAAATCCAAATTGTAACAGACTGGAAGAATTACTTGGATTCTAGAAGACAACATTTCTGTTTCTTTAAATTTTTGTGTAATATAATGCTTGTTTAATTTACAGAAAAACTTTATTCATCAAACTTGGTATTTAGTGAAAGCTATATAACTGGTCTTGCTGGGCTTCTAGTAGATCAAAATAAGTCTTTTTTGTGGAAAGGATAAAAATACATACACAATAGAAGTAATAAAAAAAAGAGAAGATAGAGAGATAGAGAGTGGGTGAGTCATTGGGAAAGCATTAGAGAACAGTCACCCATACTGAAAAAATCTAAAGTAGATTTTTGTCTTGTAGAAAGAAACAGCAATGTGACAGTGAAGTTGCAGAGCACATGCCAGGGACACACTGTGGGCCTTATTCATAGGCCTCCGGGTTTTTTCTGAGCATATGCTTGATAGTATAATACCTATGAAATGTTATCTGAAACATTAACAGGACTAAAAGAGTGTTTATCAGTGGGAAAGAATTTGCTTCTGAAATATCTATATGTCCATTGCAAAGGGTTATATACAATTGTGAAACAATATGTATATAACACGACTAAATCTTCAAAAACTACATGATGTTGAGTTAGACCTTTTTCCCATGTTTTTGCCAGATTTCTATCTACTCTTGCTTCTGCCTTCTATATACTGTTGCATTTCTTTTAAGAATCAAACTGAATAATGTATACGTAAGGACTGAGATATAAGCAGTATATACAAATTTGTGTTTGTATGAGCTATGAATAAAATGACAGAGGCTCAGCAAGCATCCAATCTGAACAGACACTCTGACAAGAAGACAGAATTTGTACTTAACAAAAAATTTTCAATTCTTCCATCTCCTTTCCTATAGAAATCAGGTCAGTTGGAGCTTTAATACTTCCCTGGAACACGGGACAACACACCAGAGTCAGACATGACTTTCTTCTTAAAGGAGAAATAATCTCATAAATGTAGAAAGAAGGAATGCAATACATCTGACATCTTTAAAAATATTTTCTTTCATTTATGTAGACAATGAAGAACTGCTACTAAACTCTGACATACCCCTTGAGATCCTTTTCCCCTGGCTTGATGCATGCCAGAGGACCAGCATGAAGAATCCAAGTGACTTTCCTTCTACCATAGTGGGATAAATTCTGCCTAGTTCTTCTTAAGAGAGTACTGTGAGACTTAATTAATTAAAACTGTGGAGAATTATTGATTCTCAACACTCCGTCAACCCAAAGCTGATGATTACAATGAGAGTGAGCAATGAATATTGCATTTATCCGATTTATGTCATAGAATCATAGAATTATAGAATGGTTTGGGTTAGAAGGGACCTTTAAAGGTACTCTAGTCCAGCCCCCTGCAATGAGCAGGATGTCTTCAAGTAGACCAGATTACTCAGAGCCCCATCCAATCTGATCTTGAATGTTTCCACATATGTGGCATCTACCACCTCCCCTGGGAAACCTGTTAAGAGTGTCTCACCATCCTCATCATAAAAAATTTCTTCCTTACATCTAGTCTGAGTGTATTTGCATCAAACATATTTCTTGACATTTGTAAACAGACTGATGTATAACCTTATTGAATTGGGACATTTCACACTGAAAAATTAATGATAAGTAATCAAAGGTTGCTTAGAGGAATGAAGAATTCAAGAAAGAAAGAAGTTCTGACCAGTGACCAAAGATAATTAGGATAGTTTTTTGACATGCAGCAAGTTGTGGAGGAACTGAACCTGAAGGTGGTTGTGCAAGTTTTCCACAATAGTGCACTAAGCAAAACCAACTGAAAGTATTTCCTATGTCACAATAACCCAAACCTACAAATAGATGGTGAAATACTTATTTTGACTACCTTCCCAGTGAAAGATATCAGAAATATTACTATAATTTATGGCTAATAAAAACACATTTATCTATTACTGATAAATTAACCAAAGAAGGTTTCACAGTGTCATGTAATTAGAATAATTTTTTCATGAGTCAAACTACGATAAATGTTCATTGTTATGACAGCTAGAAACACATGAATGTGTGATTTGTCATAGAACAGGTAATAGGGCTCATGATATATTACAGAATCTGGAAAAACACCAATAACCTCATTTAAGGGTAATGACACTAGAGGATCTACTCTGGTCTTCACAAAGTATTTAGAGTACAGATTTTAAGACAGTATTCTCTTTTACCCTCTCACCCAACATCTGAAATGATGTTTGCTGTTGTAGGATAATATATGTTCAGAGTTACCCTTTAGCACCTGAAACAGCCTTTGTGAGTAAGTTTCAGTAAGCCTTCCACAGAGTTGAGAAAAACATTAATTCTAAAAATCATGTTAGACTTGTTGTCCTGTGTATATAGTTAGAAATGCAAATATGATGTGTAATTTTTCAGAAACCGTTCAAAATTTAGATTTGCTTTTTCAAACTTTTTTTTGGGAAAAAAAGCACATTATTTACGTAGCACTCCAAATGTAGTAGGTTTATCTTCTCCTTTTCAAATGCATATTTTCACGTATCCTGTTTAGAATCCAGAATTTCATATGAAAACTCTACAGACATCTATTCCTGGAAGCTAAGGGTTCCTACAAAGCCTTTACAACATAAAACTCACTAATATGGCCTAAACTATAAATGTCTGAAAACACAGGTAAATTGTGAGCATAATGAATGATGTCATATACTTTATTTAGGAAAAACATTGAATGAAGTCTGAGCTACATTAGAGAATAAATGTTAACTTTTTTTTTTACTGGAGTTAATTTTATGTCCATACCCAGTAGAGAGAATATATCTGCCTTTATAATTTCTACTGCAGAAACTCCCTATAACTGAGACCAGGTGGTAGTCTACATTTTTGCTAAATTTTTAATAGTGAGTGATGGCCAGTACTGTTAACCTCTGCAGCAGAAACATATGGCTATATTTTAGGTAGAGTTTTCATAATTCTAACTGGCAGATATTCAACATTTAAAATGAAGTTAGATTGTTTTAGTCATGTTACACGCTTTCCCATGCACACAATGCTCAGGCCATGAAAAAAAGCAGATGCTTCCTCTAATAAATAACTCACTGTGACAAAGAATATACTAAAAGTTACATAATCTGGTTTATGCAAATGCTAATGGTTGTGTGTGGCAATGCAGCATAATACAATAACTAGTTTAATAAATGATTCTTAGTTTAGCCAAACAAAATACAATTACAAACTAGAAAGTAATTTCCAGGTTAAATATTCTCCCTTTTTATCCCATTGTGTTTTCATGAAAAACGTTAAACAAAAAAATCACATCTTGTTTGAATATCAAGTTATAGGAAAATGCCTATTTAAAATAAAGGCTATTATACTAAAAAAGACAAAATGAACTGAAACCTAAGCTCCATGGAAACAATATTTCTCTGCAAGTTGTTTATGCTCTAGTGACTAGGTTTTAAACACACACACACAGAGTTCTAATGGAAACAGCAAACATGAAGTAGGAATATTTCCTCACATTATAAGGGCCCAAATCATGGAAAATGTTAGATATTGAGAAACTTTAAAGTGAAGTCAATATTTACCAGACAGCAAATGCAGAAAACATTCATACACTACTCTATGTTAAGCAGACTGGCCAAAACTTTCTCACATTTTATAGCTTAATTTCTATCAATTACTGTGCCAGTAAATGAAAAATGTATGGCTTGCTGTGGAGGGGAGAGAGGAATTGAATACACCTAAGTAGATCTTGACATGAAACACATCTGTGTGAACAGTAACCCTAGAACTGTAAACTGACTTGATCGGAGGACAGATAGCATCACTAAAATGAGACATTATGAAAGACACTTTCCTTGAAAAGAAAGCTTTAACATCAGTGTGTTAATTCACTATCTATTATGAATAATCTATGCATTTTTAGAAAATATTCTGTATCTGCCCATCTTGTTCTGAAGTCATATCTGCACAACAGAAACCAAATAACTGATATCACACACAATGGATTTGATAGAAGTCACAAATAAAAATCTGCTATTTCAGGAAAGGGAATCTCCTGTGTTTAAAAGTTTTTGGCACTGAAGAAATAAAAATTTAATTATGTTTGGTATAAAAGTTATTATTGCAATAGCATAAGCCAAGAAGATATCTCTCCTTTTCATGCTCCCACAGTAAAACTGAAAGAACAAAAAAAACTTTTTTCAAAATATTGAAGTTATTGAGAGTCATTTTATCACAAACTAAAAACTTTGTTGTGAATCATACTTTTACCTGTCACATAACTGAAGAGAAAAATGAGATAAAAAATCAATAGCAAAAGAATTTTAAATTGTTCTTTAAATATCCCAGGATGCACGCAAAGTTTGTAAAAGTTACTACTTCGTAATTAAATAGGACCAAATAAAAACGTTGTCTGCAGTATGTATGGTATTTCAGCAGTGTTGAGAACTGAGTCTGAGAGTAAGAGACAATCAGAGGGAAAGTAAATTCACACTTTAAGTTAGAACTGGTGCATAAAAACCATAAAACAAATTATTCCATGACAACAGGAGAAATAAGCATCATAGCGGTAGACAAAAGTTAACAGAATATTGTCCATATATCCTTATATATTCTTAAAGAACCCAGTAATTTTCTATTTCAAACCATAGTTCTGAATGGGACCCTATGAACTCTGCTGTTTCCTGGGCAAAAATGTGCCAAAGCCCACTAACATTGATATCATGGGTATTTAGCCTTAGGGATACAGTAAGTTCCATCTCATTGTACTGCCTATATGCTTGGCAAATTTATGAGGACTGACGTGGTCGTGTTGAACTCCAGTAGCTAAGACTTTCCAATGAGCATAATTACATAATTCACTACTCATCACTGAAGGAAAAA